GGACAATTTATAATTAAAATATTTGTAAAACAAGGTACACATTTAAATCTATGACAAGATAAGCCCACTGTATCCTTTGTTAACATTTTTGCCAAATCCAGTTAATTTTCGTATTATATTCGCCGAGACAATCCCATTTATCTTCATACATCTACCGGATATCACAACTTTGAGCAAAGGTCTCATAATTAACCGATTATAAATTGCACATGTCCAACCCCTCTCAATGTTTCAACCACTTCTCAAAGCAATTAAGCAGAGCGTGTATACGATACCAGGACCGGAATCGTACAAGAATCACCTACACGCTTCTTCTGACACATCAAATGAACAAAATCACCTTCTATCTTATCGTTTTTAACGTCCGAATGTCGCTTTATTTACCATTGAAAAGAGTTTATCACGCTTTCGATCATTGGTAAGCTTTGAAAATTGTGATGTACAGTCCTGTGCTTCCAGGGCGGTATTCTCTATATACCGGTCATTGTGCACCGCGAATGAATGCATGTTTAACTCATTCTGGCGGCGTCCAACAATGGCCATAATGCGACCGCTTTACTGTTAAATATATTGAAAATCATGTCGTCATATAAATAACATAATTTTGTTTATTATTTTGTCGTGATGTTTTGCCCGACATAGGCGGAGACAAAAATTGCACTACAAAGACTAATTTTTTCAAACATAAATTTCAATTACTTGAAGGAGAAAGATTTTTAAAGCAATAAACCATTAAAATTTTAATTCGTTGGTCGAAACCACAAATTACTCAAATAATTTTAATTATGACATCTATTTTCATGATTCGGAATAGATACATAAAGATGTCATTAAAAATGAATTGTTATTGTAATGGCTGTTTTGGAAATTAATTATAATTTTTATGATCAAACTTTATCAGGTGGGTGTCTTTCTTCAAGTTAACCCTGTGAAAATTTGCCCAAATGCACCGACTGAGCGAAAGTCGAACATAATAAAACACAATAAATGGCTGAGTGTTTGAGACCAAAAGAGCCGCTTTGACCCGCGGCTGGCATTAATGTGTCGATGGGTATAAGCCCCGTGTGTGTCTTGGAAGCCCCTAAGGTCTTGCAACATATGTCGGGTTGTGACCCCATTAGAACACCAGATTCCGTGAAAGACTACGAAAATTGGTTTACGAATGCCGCCCGCTCTTTCTTTTTCATTTAAAACAGAACGAAAAAAATTGTGGGCTTTTAACTAGATTTTATGCCCAATTAAAAATGATGTGTTTTTATTATCGGCCGTTTGATTATTAAATATGAAACGTTTTCGAATAATAACTGTGTAAAATGATAAGTGATAAAGTTTTATGTAAATAATTATATAACAATTAGCAATTCAGAGTTTATGAGAAACGATTTCATGTTTTGTTAGGAGAATAATTGACAATTACATGTAAAAATCAACACATTTTTAGCTTCAGTAAACTGGATAAGCAATTAAAAAGTTTGTCAATAGGCGTTTACATTAATGAGATTTTGTGAAAATGAGTCGTATATGGTTATCTAAATGAAGTTATTAAATTTTTGCATTGATACGGTCTTTCAGGACGGATTAATTAAAATTTGGATCCAATAACTGTAAAACCAGATACCTATGTAATGAATAATAATAAAAATAAATAATACAATATTTACAGTCTGTTTTTTATCAATTATTATTATTCCATATCCCTATATTACATTCTACATTCTCTACAAGAAGGCAAAGTGCAGGTTCATTTAGATTAATGTATTACACTTACAAATACGTATATATTTTTTAGATAAAAAAATGTCATAGCCATCTATGATTTCCATTAAAAAAAATACAAGTTTATTTTATTACATCTAAACAAAAGAACTGAAAAAAATTGGTAACTACATTATTAAATTCTATACGTAAAAAAGTGCCTCGAGGTATAATGTCTTTATTTCAAATGTTTAGATTTCGCTAAAATGTCAACTTTTGTCTGATGTAAGTCGAAAACAAAAGATGCTAGCGGGTTGCAGTATTAACTAATATTATTTTCTCAAAAAATGAGCCCCAGAATGTATCACTCGTTTTTGATTAAACCTCTTAATTTCAGAGATTTGGACGTCCAAAATGCACTTGTGTTTATACACAAGCTTATGCTCTTGGACTCACATTCGGCATCCATAACAATGGCAAAATGAGCGAATACTTTTCTCTCGATGTTTTCGCCAGAAATATTAAATCTTTACTTGAGAGAAACAAAATTAATTCAAAATAAAGTAAAACGTTGTATGCAGGGTGAATATAGAAAATAATAATAAAATTAATATAAAAAAGTAGGTAATATAAAAAATGTCATCGTATTTTGAGAACGAAATTTAGTTTTGTTTTTGAGTTATACGATTTTTTTGTCATAATTGCAATTAAGCAAAAAATTAAAAAAAATAACATAAAGTAGATAGTTGTAATTTTTAGATCATAATCTTTATGAAAAAAATGGTTTGTATCATCTAATAATGTATTTATTCGTCGTGCCGTTTTAATTTCACTTTTCATAATGTTTTTTTTTATGAAATAGTGGAGTATTTTGACTCTAAAGTCAGTAGGGTCCACTTGTAACACAGATTTTTCTTTTATACAAAAATCAAATGCTTCTGACGTATTTCATCTCAAAAACACGGTTGCGAGGTTGCCAGTGAGGAGACTGAAATGGCACAAGGTTTACGTCAGTTTTGTGTAATAAACTAAAAGAGCCATTAATAACTGCGCTGATAAAGCTTATTAAGCCCCCAAGAAAAAAGAAAATTTTTATAATTTAATAATGAAAAATAGTTATTTATTCGACTAGTTCGAGTGTAAATCGGACGCATTTTTTCACCGAGTGGATTATTAAACCACGAGTGTAACGAGTGATTTATCATCCACGAGGTGGAATGAAGCGTCCGATTTACACTCAAACGAGTTAAATACAACATTTTATTCTTCGAATTAGACTCAACAAGGCTTAAACTTGCTTTGAATCTGTTAAAAATAATCTGACGTTTCGTATTGAGAGATGCCAAACAGTTGTCAAAACTTTCTTACTCGGGAGAAAAACCGTAAATTTTGATAATGTCGAAGAATAAAAACTTCTTTATATTTCTTTCAGTAATTGTAAACTTTACTAAATGCAAAATCGTTTAGAAAATTGTTACAACAAATTTTACATAAAAAAGTATTAAGAAACCAAAAGAACTTCTCTTCTGCAATAACCAATAAGACCATATATTATAATTTTTTAATTTGATATTTTGAGTTGGCAATGTTGTCATAATAAATTGTCATGTTCAAATTGTCTGTTATTAAAAGTTAGAGCAACGTGATTAAAAATTAGCACCTTTCTCAGTGTAAACAGAACCTTTGATGTTCTAAAAAGCACTTTTAAGGTATACAGGGTCGCTAAAAAGTATGGATACAGTTAAATATTATAAAAAGTATTCATCAAAACTTATTGAAATTTGGTATTTGCTTAAAAGTATTTAAATTCCATCGCTTCAGATGTTTATCAAGCTTCTATCTCCATTTGTTCTAAAGACACAAGGCTAACTTTATTTTTTATGTCAAGAAGGGTCTAATTTAATATTTTTAAAAAGAGCATTTTTTCTGAGTTCTGTGCATACCTTATTTAAAAAAAAAATCGAAGTAATTAAATTTTGAAAAATGTATTTTTTTTAGCCTTAAATATGTTGTCTTTATCGATCCTTAGCTCTTTGCCGCTTAAACTTTGACCAGAAAATAGGTAAACTGTTTCCCAAATTTCAACGTGCTCTTCTAAATTGTTTTGAAAATATTGAGCTGTATCCATGCTTTTTAGCGACCCTTTATTAAAATGTGAATATAAAAGGTGTTTATTTAAATTTGGCGTCATAATTGGTGGTGATATGAGTCTGTTGTAAACGGACCACAATTTTTAATTCGCCCGGCGAGCTCTTAAATGCCAGATTAATAACTTTTAATAGGATGGTTCGTTCACAATCGAACTTTCATGGATAGCTTTGACGCTAAATTTAAAAAAACAACCGTTATAAAAATACAGAATGCAGAATGAGGTTTTCATTTAGTTAAAAGTGAAAAATATACGAATGAAAAAAAAACTGCTACATTTCACATTCAACATTGTAACCAAAGCCGAGTGACAAAATAAACAATTCTTAATAAAGGACTCAAAAAACTACAAGTGATTTGTCTGATATGGATGAAAAGTCTTTAGTGTCATGTTTTTTATACGTTTTTTCGTGATCTTTAAACAAATCAATGTTTTTTTTTTTCATACAAGTGTACAAGTAGGTATATAAAAACAGTAAATTTTTTAAATTAATCTTTGACTATGTTTGCGATTATTATTTCTGAAAACTTAAAATTTATAATAAATATGTATACGTAAGTAACTATATAAAAAAGTATTATTAGTTCCAGTTCTTTAAACTGCTAAATAATTGTTTCTACTAAGAAGTAATTAAATAGACAAAGTTTTCCATATCAAATTTTCAACTAATTCACCTAAAACTGCAAAACAACCTCAACATCGCATCACAATCCGACAAAATCTCGCAAAACATCCAGGTGGTCCAAAATTCACCATATACAAAAGAACCGACCTTCGTCTTAAACCGTAAAAAATTATCCACGCTTCTTTTAAAATTTCCTTCTGTTTAGTAACCACACACAAAATACGCACATTTCTATTTTAATATATCACATTTTTACCCAAAAAAAAATACAACGGATGATGTAGTTGGGTGCGGCATCGATGGTAGCCATTTTAAATGCAATTTTCCCGTGCGTGTTTTCCTTCAGACATGCAACACCGTACCAACATAAAAATAATTTAATACTTTCTTCGCCAATATATCGCCGTTTCGAGGCAGTACTCTTAGCAAGTACCTCCCATTCAAGCCTTACAATACCGCTTTGTGGACCCTCCCATACATAAAATCGTTTTGCTCGCTCCGGTAGTAGGTTTCATGCTTGTTTTTCTCGAAAAACACCCTCGTTGGTACGTTCTTTTCAAATCAAAACTCTCTTCCCATCATTACAATAGAAACATATGAAGCTTTTTGACCAATAGTGCACCAACTCATTTTACTACCAGATGGTAAATATTTTTTTCGCCCCGTATACAATGTGAATGATTGTTCATAATTCAGTTGGTACAGTGTTGTTTTAGTGGATGGTGCGGTCTGGGGCGATAAAATGTGCAAAATGAAAACTTTTGATTATGTAAAATAGTCCTAATTAAGGGTAAAACCATGGATATGAGACCTATCTTTGGTGGATACCCGTTTCAAGGTGAGTTCGTTAAAATTTTAATAAATCTCCCTGCATTTAAATGAAAAAACGTTATTAATAAAAGAAGGTAGAAGTGGCCGAGGCACTTCATCTATCACTCTGACCGTTGCCTCAGGCAAAATCAGCAATCTCAACAAATTATAGTAGTCGGGATTCGATATGGCCTTCCAAATTACTCAAGCCCACCCCTGCAAATGTGATTAAATTATCATTAAGTTTCTTGAGTAGAGATGCTACCGTTTTGCCGACGATAAAGAAACTCTTCCTTAATAATAAGCGACGATTACATGTATGCCCTTAGGAATATTGCTTTTATTACTCAGTGTTATTATTAGCAAAATTAAAGTAATCTTTGGGTAATTTCAGAAAAAAAATAACAACCAAAAACACTTGTGTCAACTGCCGTCGCGCAGTTGATAAATGTCCAAGAAATACCTTCTTTTTCTTAATTTATCTATATACGGTGATTAATTGGTCAAGTTAGATTAAAATGGACCGGTGCTTGGGTGTTATTTCTAGCAATATTTCTTCTGGACGAGTGACTCATGGATTAATTATACAAAGATAATTTCCGGCACGCATTATGCATATTATAAAGCATTTTTATACATAATTTGTGAATAGCAGGACACAATCAATAATTGATTTCCACTTTAAATATACTACTCTAAATATTGCTCAAATTTTCATTACAAAAGATTTTTTTAATTTTCAATACTAATTAGCTCCTCATGAAAACAAAACTTTTTGAGGTATTGAATACCTCCGTAATAATGAATTAAGTAATTAAAATTTTAGAAAATTTGATACCTATATGACCTACACTTCTCTCCTTACACGCTAATAATTATTTTACACAGTAAAAAATAAAATGCATACAAGTTGTGTTATGAAAAACGCCCCAAGCCATAACTCCATTATTTTTAAAGTTATAACAATACTTCTTAGAACAAAGTTGATCATTTTTGTCATTTATCGTTTGAGCTATATGCTAAATTAATGCTAATTTTTGATTCGCCGAAAGTGACATCAACTTTAATTTTTTTAATGGAACAGCTTGTATATTTTACCACTTTTGGATTCTTTGTTTATTTGTCTTTTAAAAGGTTTTAGTACCATATACCTAAAACCTACCGTCAGTGAGATATTCACCAAATTATGTATTTATTAAAGTAGTCAAAGTAGGCAGTGGAAAAGAAGTAATGATGACAAATATTATTACTGTTTTTATACTTTTTGGTATTGTGGTATTAATCATATTAACAGACATGATTCAAGAATATTTTGAATGCAATAAAAATAGTTGAAGACCACTACGCCCTTACATCACTGGGCGGTTTCCGATGAGAGAAGTTCCAATTCGTCGAATAAGAAAATTTGAGGATATTTAGGGTTTTAAAAACCCAAGTTAGAACAGATGCATTTTCTTGAACACCTATCTAATTCTATATCTCTTTGAAATTGGCAATGTTCTAATTTAGGTTTTCTAAAAGCCCCAAACATCTACAAATTTTCTGCAAGTCGATTAAATTTTGATTGATTTAGAACTTCTCCCATCGAAAATCGCCCAGTGTAAAAGCAGTGCTCTCACACTATTTTTATTTCATCCAAAATATTCTTGAATCATGTCTGCTAACACATTATCATCCATGATTAATTAACACCAAAAAGTATAAAAACAGTAAAATAAATAATATTTGTCAACATTACTTGTTTTCCACTGCCTACTTTAATAAATACATTATTTGGCGAATATCTCCAAACGGTTGGTTGTAGGCATATGGTACTAAAACCTTTTAAGAAGCAATTAAACAAAGAATCTAAAAGTGGTAAAATATTCCATTAAAAAATAAAGTTGATGTTACTTTTGGTGAAACAGAAAACAGCATTAATTTAGCATCTATCTCAAACGATAGATGAAAAAAAATGTTCAACTTTGTTCTAAGAAGTAGGTATTGTCATTCATAACTTTAAAAATAATGGATTTATGGCTTGGGGAGTTTTTCATAATACAGCCTGTTATGTGAGTCTTGCAAAAATGGATAATAAGTCATTTCAGTATGTATGTATTTAGAAACTAATAACGTTTCCACCAAAACTGATAATAACTCTAAAATTTATTCATAACTTATGTCACTGTTTGCGGAAGTTAAACGAATTCAAATGTAAGTAGTCCAACACTCGTTGATTCCAGAACGTTTAATGTAATAACAAGAAAAGTAATTAGTAAGCCAACAATTGTTCCACTTGTATAAAGACAAAACTTTTACAGCTCCATAATAATTTAATAATAGGTAATATGAGCAATTATAATTCATTAAAAAACAATATAAATCATTTAATCTTGACTGATAATATCTCGTTGTCTCATACCTATGCAATTATTTTTCCAATAAATTATTCCCTTTTTCTTTTGATAGGTCAAGGACGTGTTAATCAACTAGGAGGAGTTTTCATTAATGGACGTCCTTTACCTAATCACATTCGATTAAAAATCGTCGAAATGGCCGCTGCTGGAGTTAGACCATGTGTCATTTCAAGACAATTGAGAGTTTCTCATGGATGTGTTTCGAAAATTTTGAATCGGTATCAAGAAACGGGAAGTATAAGACCGGGAGTTATCGGTGGTTCTAAGCCACGAGTTGCTACACCTGAAGTCGAAATAAGGATAGAACAAATGAAAAAGGAAAATCCAACGATATTTTCGTGGGAAATTCGAGAGAGACTCATTAAGGTAATTCGAAGCTAATTTCCAAGAACAGGATTCGTCTTTCATTCTTCTCAATGACCATATAAAATATCAAATTCAAAACAGATATTGATAATACACTATACACTATAGTCCTGCACATACAGAGTGCGCCAGAACTCGCGCCCCAGAGAAAATGCCATATAAGGTAAGATACCAGGAACATGGAAAAAATGTTAAAAAAATTTTATCTATAAAAATTTCGAAGTTATGAGGGCTTAAAGTTTGCACCTTGACTCTATTTATTTCTGTTGGGAAAATAATTTTACAAGTTTTTTTGCTATAGGCTATTAAAAGAGGAAACAAGGAAGCTGTGTCTTAAATTGTAACTCTGTTCAATGTTATTTGTGGCTTTCATTGGCAAAATTTTTGTCCCTGTACTAAATAATTGTAAAAAAAACACAACAAGATCATCAGTATCATTAAATAAATATAAAAAAATGTCATATGTCAAAAAATAAATATCAAAATTTTTTGGCAGATAGATTGTTTTAAACATTATTTTCATGTTCCTGGTATCTTACCTTACTTGAAAATTTTATCTGGGGCGCTAGTTCTGGCTGTATGTAATTAACTTATTTATCGGTAGTCCTGCTCTTTTAGTCTGCAATACAACACCGAAAGATAACCATTTTATTTGTGTTTTAAAAGTTAAAATTGGTTACAAAGCTTTAATACGATTATTCAAAAGATAAACCCTCGTTTATTTCCCTCACTGTCATGAACGTTTCGATTTGTTTTCAATATTGTACAGCAATATGTCTTCGACAAGTGATAAGATAAATTGTGACTCGATATATTTGACTTCACGGAATGCACATACGAATTCTTTTCAAAGCGTTTGTGAAAATTGGACACCAGTTCATAATATATTATGTTTTTCCTTAAAAATAAGTCGTTCGATCTCCTCCGGCTACACCATTCATAAAAGACTTGAACAAGTTGAGATACGTGAAAAATCCGGATTATCTTCATCGTTTATCTTTGCTTGAGGCTCCGATCTTCGCGTACCTGTCAACATCGCCAGTTATTTTTTGATCGTATCGATCTTTGGGATTATCTCGTGTTGCTATCGATGGCACGGAAGTCGACGTTATCATCATCGATAGCTCAATACGTCACGAATCATATCGACGTCCAGCTACCACGGACTATATAATATGTCGGCATTGGATCAAAGGGCCAGCAGCGTGCCAGAGGACACATCACAATGATAATAGTGGTCCTGACGTAGCGAGCGTGCCGACGTTACCGCCCTCAAATTACCGCCGGGACATCTGGCCTGATAGGATCTCGCGGACCCACCGGTACCTACACTTGCAGTGCAGGACCATGCATGTGAGAGGTATCTGCAACGCTCCGGGCCCGATAAACGAACAACTACGCCTCCTTTTCTTCGGGTTTTTTGCGCTAAACCAGAGGCGGAGAACTCGACGACTTCCCAGTGCAAGATACAGATATATTGTGTGGGGACGGTAATGGAGCGTGAATACGGAGATAATTTGGTAGCTCGTAGGAGAATTACAACTTTGTACAGATTTCGGTTTTTAAAACGGAAATCAAGATAGGAGCACGTGTGTGGAGTCTTGCAAGCTTCCGGGTTTAATAAAAATATTAAACACTTTACCTTTATACCTTTATTAGATTCTATTCTTGTCTCTCATCTATTGTAGTAAAATTTTATTATTTATTGCACGATTAAATATTTAATATACCTAAAAAAACTTATGAAAAATTCTTATTCTCATACTTTTCAAAGAACGGTATTAAATATTTGATTTTCCTCTTATTAATTCCTTTTCAAATTTTGTTTTTGAATGCAAATTAAAATGTTATAGGGTAAATGAGATGGACTGGCGGAAAAGACACAAAATCTTGATCGAAAATTTTTAGTATCTTGCATTATGCAATCGTCTCAGTTCAACGATAGTAATTTTAAACTTAATATTTATACAAAAAATGTATAACATTTTATAACATCAGTTATAACCTAAAATCAGTTTTCTATCAAACTTGATGATCAGATGTAATTTAGTAATTTGTTTTTGACCACTTTTATTGAGAATAGTTTTTTGTGTATCTTTATTTTCAGTATCTCTTTATCTAATTTACATTATAAACAAAGTATGCCAAATACAGAAAAACAGACTGTAAAAAATTTACAAAAGACAATAAATGCAGTAAATATTAAGACAATACAGAGGTGCAAAGCCACTACAACATTTATCACACCAAAATCAACATTTTTAAAGTTAGTAAATTGAATTTATGTACATAAAAAGACACAGATTTGTGTCAACAATATAAAAAACACTCATGAAAAAATTAATAATTAGAAACTACGAGTATTAGTGATGGTCTGTCTCACCCGCACAATGTAGGAGAGATGGACTTTTACATATCAAAATATGATTTTTTTTCGGTATTTAGAAGAATGTGTTTTTTATTTTTTCTAACACTGATACCTTATACTGTTTCTATAGTGCGTTTAACTTACCCTTTATGTTGGCGTTAATACAGGGTGTTTACGGTCTTGAGATTGAAATTTAAATGAGATGATATTCACGGTAGAAGAAGACTAAGACGCTATATAAAATAAAAATTCATTTTGTAAAAGGAAATAATTCATTTAATATTATTTGTTTGAGAACTACTGCTTCGCCTGCAACAATGGCCACTATTATCATTACCTTGTGTTTCAGCGTAAATCACGACAACCAATTTATTATTTTAATATTTGCCATCCATGTCCATAAATTTGTAAAAAAAAATTAAGAAAAACGAATCAAACCTACCATTTCGCTGGAAGAGCGAAGAATTTTGATAAAAACTAAAGCAAGAGCAAATCAAATGATGACAGTGTCAAAAATATGAAGTGAAATAATTCCAGTGACTCTCAAACCGTGTATCAATAATTTAGAGTTAAATAACATTCTTAATAATAACAATTGTGTGAGTTTTTTTCTCGGTTTCAGTATTTCTGTGTTCTTCTATAACTAGGTCAATTTTCAACTCCAAAAGCGTAAACACCCTGTGTATGCTCTTCTATAAAATACGTTGTCAATCACATCGTATTTTATAAGAACATAAACTACACGTATCTTGGCATTTGGTCAATTTTGTCATTTTTTTGACTCTTTTTTTATTACTACATTTCTGAATTTAGTAAAATTTCTGATTTAATATTAGTGCTCAAAAAAATTTTGAAAACAACACAAGTGTTTTTGTTTTTTGTTGTGTTTGAAATAAAAGTGGGGCGCAAGTTCTGGCGCACCTGTATATATCATCAAACACGAGTTTAACTGCTAAATCTCCTACTTTGAGACAAACAAAATCAAAAGGCCAAGACAATCTTCATAATGATGATATGATTTAGAGATCTGTAAATGCAAATACGTGATGTATGAAATGCGACAAAAAAATGAATATTTGAATTGAAAATTAAAATATCTTTATTTATCTCTTAAATAGCTATTTATGTATCAAGCACGCAAGATAGGGTTTTAGGGGACGAATCGTAATTAATGACGAGGCGCGTAGGAGCCGAGTCTTTAATGAGAGGAGTCACCTAAAACCTTTTGCGTACAAGATTTTTCTGTTAAAGCTCCCAAAACACGAATTCACACCTCTTATTAATAAAAAAAAAATTCGCCACCATAGTAACCAATTTAATTTTTTAGTCCGCAAAAACTGTTTTTGGGGACTGAGTTCCTAAAAAACTATTTTGCGTATTATTTCATTGAGTCCAGAAAAGACTCATTTTGCGGACTCAAATGAAAACAGCTGTTTTCGGGAGCGTATACAAAAAAAATATTTCAAATCGATTTGCTTACCGTTTTTTTTTTAGAATTCTTTTTATTGAAGTTTATTGAAGATTTGATAACGTTACTGAAAATTATTTAAAGATTTTTTATTAATTTAATTTATAAGCAACTTTTCTCAGCGTAATACTTTAGATAAAACTTTTAGATATTGAATAACATAGAGTAGTTTGGAACATTATAAAACTTTAAATCACATATCAAACATTTGTGTGTATGAGTTTGTTTTTGCTGCCAAAATCTGAAACTTTTTGTCCACTAAAATTTCACTACAAATTATCTAAAATATTCCAAGTTTGCACCACTCTAGAAATCACAACCCAACCGGACGGAAGAATTTCAGTTGAGCGTCACGTATTGAGGTTGTTTTGCATGAGTATTCCAACAAAACTGTATAATTTGAGCTCCGAATGATCATTATAGAACACCTGTACCAGAAACATTCACGACCTACCTCATGACTCGTCCTTTGCATTTTTTTTCTGAAATATTTGCTCCTAAAAATAGTTGTAAATAATAATGTTGCCCACGTAAACATGCTGTAATAATATGTGCTAGAAATGCCGGCAAGTTTCAGCCCTTTGGGCACCAGAATTTACTTAATTGTACTCCACATCCATCAGAAATCGAATAAAGACATACGATGCCTCTTTCAGGAAGGAGTCACCGATCCACCAAGTGTCTCATCAATCAGTCGTCTACTACGTAGTGGTGGACGCAGAGACGGTGATCCTGACGGGAAAAAGGATTACACAATCGATGGAATTCTCGGTGGTAAGTTGAAAGGGTCAGAGAAGTAAAATATCATTTCGTTTATTTAATATTATGATGCTTTTAAAGGAATTGTCGCTATTTTAATCTAATCCTGGAATTTATCTTCTGAATTATGTTTTAATTACGGGCACGCGGATTGGAATAAACAATTTCCATTTCGTTTTAATTGCTAATAGCACTTTGCGTATTGCAGTTGTTCATAAAACGGATTTAATTTGAATCACAAATACATACAATCACAACGAACAAATTGTATGAATACAAAGTGAGATTTTTTGTTGGTGACAAAAACATCTTCATTTTGTTATCTTCAATCTTCCTGTATTTCGGTCCAGTGGCCACACGAAATTACTCATTCCACGATGTCAATTAAAAAACAGTTTTTTTAATGCAATGGCGGTGCCTATAGAGCGTGTGAGCACGAGAAAAGTAAAAAATTCAGCGATATATCTACGAGAAAAGGAAACTCACAACGTCCCTAACTGTTGCACTTACACCCACTTAATGAGTCGGCATTCATCTTTGTCTGTAGCATATTAATCACGAGATCTCGCGGACCGCCTGCTGGTCAATTAGACAGGTATTCTGGCCCACACAAGTCGCCATTGTCACTTACTTGACTATAATATAAGGATTAGTATCCTTCGAGCGGCTCGTGCCTTCGCCGACAACATTCCGCTTCCACCATCATCAGAGAGAGAATCGAATATCATCGAGTGGGTGTTTTTAATTGTTTCCATCAGGTGTTAACTCGCACCTAATTGTTTTTAGGATGATACAACGATTTCTCGGAGCCTCCTCCAAGAGGCCGGCCTGGAAATCACTCTTCGACTTAAATAGACCGGAATTTTTGACTCTACTTGATAATTTATTGAGTAAAAACATGGAATGACAGATGAAATATATAGTGCATCACGAGTGTGTTAAATGATAAATGCCTGTACTTATAAAACCAGCGACCTCAGGGGGCAACTCTTTACCGACCCCCCTCGAATCATTCAAATAACTCACATATCGCGTTTATACACACACCAAATACAAATTTACTTTAATTAATTTCTTTCTCATAAGTTTGTACAAAACAAAGTCGTGCCGACCATTTCCCAGATAAATCAAAACGACCCCGACCATAATGTAACAACTTTACGACCCCTCGTTCATTAGCAAGGGTGGGAATCACCCCTTGGAAAACGAATGAATCAGGGCACTGGGTGGCCTAATTTGGCCGACCACCACCACAGTCAAGGTGTTTCAGGAGGCGGGCCCTCTTGTCAACCATTTCCTTTGATCAAAGGACCTCAGGATCGCCAAGAATGCGACACTCGCGTCGTAAAATACAAACCCCGACCAGAAAAATGACACAAAAAATAAACCACTTTATTTAATTTTTATTTTTTTTTGAAATATTAAAAGGTTTGTTAGTTGGTTTTGGCCAACAAAGCTTTTTGATTAATAGCCCAGTCAAATTAGACAAAAATAGGGCGATCGGTGGAAAAAATCCTAGAGAGCTGGATTTTTTTTAAACGCTTTCTTTATTCTTGGGTAGACATATATCAAAAGTCCCCGAAGGTGGGGAGCGAGCTCGAGGAGGGGGAGAGAGCTAAAAGTGTCTTTTTTTGTTTTTTTGCTTATATCTCGGAAACTATTACTCCTAACGGTTTTGCCTGCTTATCAAAATTAAAGCCTACAAAATTTCCTACAAAAATGGTCCTTTGCATTTTTGTTGTAGGACTAACTGTAAGCGAGTTATAAGGCTGACAAAAAAACATCATTTAAAAAAATGTGCTTTATCCGCATTTAAAACAGAATTAATCTTGCGATTTATAAAAACTGAATTTATTAGGTGCAACACTTCATTAGAGAGTCTATAAAGTCTTCCGAGTCGTCCTCATATGCTGCGTCTTCGCTTTCAACTTAAACATTGAAAACCGAATTACAGTCTTGTTCACTACAATATTAATAAATAGATGATTTAATATCGATGATTTGAATAAAGCTTACAGTAAATTGAATGTATTGGATCCAAAAGTTTATTAGAAGGTGCCACGAGGGTCTATCAAGTCTTCCGAGTCATCCTTATATGCTGAACTAGCATTTGCTTGCGACTTTGTCCGCATGTATTTCTGATATAAAATAGGAAAAAGCCCGTTCCCAAAACCATTCCATAGGCTTAGGTACTCTATAAAGCTAGATAATTACCTATGTTATGTATAGGATTCAGTTATAGTAGTCTCGTTCTTCGCATGGGCTATGTTTATGGATAAATATTTTCATAAAGTGTCGTCTCAGTGTACTTCTGCACTCTCAAAATTCGAAATTTCATCTTTCTAATCAGTGGCGTAACTAGAAAATTTGCGAAAGACGTCTGTTGGGCTCCTCTCTTCTCCGGTTAGGGAGTTAAATAGAGTAAAAGAGCAGTTATGTCATTAGGAAAACTAGATGTCAACTCTAGTATTAAAAATTCTGCAAATACGAATACGAATATACGCATTTTTCACAAGTGATGCCAAACGACGAACTTCTTCTTCTCTTCTTTTCGTATTCTTTAAGCACTTTAAGCTTTTGCTTTTTTCATATTTTTTTTTTAGATTAATTTTGACGTCCTAAAAATACATGTTAACTCTTGTCATGTTTATGTCATTTTGACTAATTTTCAAAAACAGTGATTTGTGGCATAATAACGGGTAGGCAGCCGATCAAAATGATGTTTTTTTTCGGCAATCTGTCTCTGCGTCATTCCTTTTTCAGTGAATGTTATCACCCTTACTTTATTGAAAAGGGTAACTCTGCAATCTTGTTTTTTATTGCATTGGCCTATAATAATTTATGTACACGCTCTAATTTTTTTAAACTATTACTATTATTATTATTATTTTTAATTTGGAAAGGGCCTTTTATCCGAAGGCCCCCCCCGCGGCCGCGGGCTTTGGCGGGTGAGTAGTTACGCCACTGTTTCTAATTTTGTTTTTAAGCGTTTAAACTCTATTTTATTTCATTAAAATTTGAAAAGTGCATTTCTACACTCTCTAAAGATCATATTTTCTAAATTTAATGTTTTTATATCTAATTTTAGTGCCCCTTTACACCTCTAAAGAAATTTTAGGTTTATATCTTTGTTTAAACATTTAACTCCCTTACAGATTGATTCTCTCTTTCATCCAAAATTTTTATTTATATCTCCGTTGAAATGTTTACACCCGAGTCACCTTTTAGGCAGAGCAGCTTAGTTGGGGAACGCTCTACACATATAAATACTTACCATATCCTAATGAAATGTATTTCAAAGGATTTTTAATGCAATTTTATGTAGACATTTTTGTAGGAAATTTTGATGCAGAAATAGACTTCTACAGAAAATTCTGCATAAATTACATAAACGATGAGTTTGTATTTATAGACCCTCGTGACTCCCCCTTCCTTTAATGGAAGTATTGGACCTAGTAAATTCAATTTACTGTCAGTTTTTTTAAAATTACAAGACTATTTAATTCTGTTTAAATGCAGATAAAGCACATTTTTTTAAATGATGTTTTTGTCTGCCCTATAACTCGCTAATATTTGGAGAATTCACCGACTCAAAATAAATCAATGACAGAAGGTCGAAAAGGCGCTTCCTCCTCGCGCCCTCGAAGATGATCGAAGAATGGCGGTGTTTACAAGCAATTGACTGCTTTCACCGGTATTCAGAGCATTTCATGTAGTTGACGTACGAACAACACTTTGCGGCAGAACCGACACCCTTTGCAAAAGCCGCCTCTTTGGCAAACTTGAATGCGATCCTACAATTTGTAAAAACGTACAATAGATAAATAACGCACCCACCCATGGTGCTTGTTTGGTGTAATTTTATTAACACCCTTAAAAATATAGTCCCAAGTTTGCATCTGTGGGAATATTTCAATTCATCGCGAATTTATAAGCGTTTAAACGGTTGACTCTATAACCTGCGGCACCAAACCAATAATGTAAAATTGTTAAATGGTCGGCCTCTTTGAGAAATGCGATATGTGATCGGTTCTTAATATGGAAAAGGATAGAGAGTGAATAAATGATCGTGTGAAAGAGTGAATGAGGTAGAGAGAGGTGTAAAAATGATGAACGATATGCAGTTGTGGAGACGAAAGACTGTACAAGCGGCGGTTGGGCGTTTACTTCTTTGGTTGAACAATGAAGGCGAGATTGAAACTCCTGATTGAGAAAAAGATAGATAGCACACGTGTTCGGTAATAATCTGTCTCATTAACATATTAAGCTTCGGCTTTGAAAGCTCTTGCCGCCTTAGTTTGACTTCATTGATTAGCTTTAGATTTTTATTGGTGTTTTTGTATCCACAAAAAATATAAAATAAAACCCAATACACATTTTTTTATTAAATCCCTACTATCCCAATAATATTACCACTATAACACTCCCAAAAAACAACAACAGACTCATTATTACGTAAATGATCTGCAATAAAATTTAACTTTTGAGATGATTACCACTGTAAATATGCGCTTATCTTTATTCTGTCTCAAAAGAATTATTGTTTCTTAACCATTAAGGAAGAACAATACTCCTTTAAACCTATGCAGAACTGATAAACTCAATTTTGATTTAGAAAATACGAACAAAGCAATTCATAACGAACATTAAATAATTTTATTCACAATCACTAATGTAATATGCCGATTACTAACCTTTTAAAGGTTGGGAAACACATCATTATATCTCATAAGGAGTAATAACATTACTTCTTCTTGGATTGCAAACGTTAAAATTACAAAAATACCGGGAATTTTTTCTTTCAAATTGTCAAGTTACGCATAATATTTTGCTAAATTAGTATTCAATTGCTGCTGTAGCAGTTTTTCTTACTTCTGGGGGAGCGCACTACTCCATTTCAACAATTTTAGTATCAGATTCACACATTATTTCAATATATTTTTTTGACATTTCTGAAATGTCAAAAGTCAGACCCAATTTGGATGGCCTACCACGTTTGGCCCTTAACTTTGTTA